CGGCGGGAAGGCGGGCTCTGCCGGCGCCATTTTGCTTCGCGTCTGTCCCCCGCCCCTGGCAGCTGAGGGGAAGGGGGAGGCGGGGAGCTGTTATTCCCCTGCCCAGCAGCTTCTCCGGGGGGTGGTTTTCCCTGTTTTTTCGTTTGTTTGTCTGTTTATTTTTAGGTTTTTTGTTTGTTTGGGTTTTTTTGAGCTGGTGTCAGCTTGGGGTGGAGGTGAATCTAGAGGCAGTGCTGGCTTTGTGTTATGGAGGCCTGAGCTACACTCCTGCCACAGCTCCTGAGACTCTCCTGGCTCTCCAGTGAGAGGAAGAGCAAGAGCAAGAGGAGGTTTAGCATAAACTATGTGGTGGAGAGGCTCCGCATCTGGATGGGTTCCAGGCTGACTCCTGCATCAGGGACTGTTTCAGTCTAGCTGTCGGGTCCAGGGAAGGGGCTTGTTTCAAATCTGCCTGTTTCGCATCCATATCTGCCAGGGATGCTGAGGTCAGTGCATGTTCCTGCACTGGCTCATGTAATTCAGCAGGTGAGGATTTGAAACAGCATTTTGCCAGGCTGTAAACATACTCTTGTAACCAGTTAGTCCAGTTTAGATGCTTTCCATTTTTCTTTTAATGTCACTTGCCTTTGGCAGGTGTCAGGCAGCTTGTAGGTTGCAAAGAGGTCGTTTTTCCCATCACCTTTCTTAGCATGCCTCATTTCTTGGATTCTTCTGCCTGGCTTTGGTGGAAGGTGGCGTAGAGGTGCTGGCTGAGGGGGTGTGTTGGGTAGCTGGGACTTTAGATACCAACAAACCATTTGTTTTAGATAGTAATGCTGTATCTTCATGAAGAGTGTACTTAAGGTTGAGTTGAACTGTATTTGGTAGCAAAGGTCATTCATGGGGTTTCCCCAAGTGCTTGTTTGCTTTCTCTTTGTCCTTTCAACTCTTTAAAAAATACAGGAAACAAAACTAAGGGAGTGAGATAAAATCCCTTGGAGGTCACATGCATTGATGGACGTTCATGCTGTTGCATTCCATCAGTGGTCAACAGTGCTTATGCAAGATGTTCTATACATTTTTCTGAGTTCCTAGCTAAAATGTGGTGTAAAATATGAATTATGACATAATGTAAAATTTAATGTAAAATAAAATTTTATTTTCCTGTCTCAGGTCTTCCACTTCCTTCCTCTTCTGTGTTACACTTGCTTCTTGTTACAGTCCAGTTTGCAAATCTCTTTTCGTGGCAGATCTAAGTGCTCAGCTCTGGGACTTTCCAAAGAAGTGGGAATGAAGGCAGGGCTTCTGTCCAGACTCTTGTGCTCTATGCCAAGCAATGAAAACAGGGCCATCCCAGTTATTCAGAGAAGAAATTGAGTAAGAATGCTTGCCGGAAGAGATCTCTTCCTCTCTCCCCGCATTATGCTATATAATGATTTCTAGAAGCAGGCTGATCTTTAGCTTGTCCAAAAGCTTCAATCTAAGAGCCAAACAAAATATTTACTGCCATCGAGTCTAGGGATAACTTCCTTATGAGGAGAAGGAACATTGCTAAGCACAGTGCTGTAGTGATGTCACTCTATTTTTATTTTTTTTTCTTTCTATAGAGAGTTTTATCCTCGGAAGGAGTCTGGCTGCAGCAACCTTACAGGAGAGTTTATTTAATGATTGCTAAGCACAGTGCTGTAGTGATGTCACTTTATTTTTATTTTTTTTTTCTTTCTATAGGGAGTTTTATCCTAGGAAGGAGTCTGGCTGCAACAACCTTACAGGAGAGTTTATGATCAAATTAAATGCAATTTATTCTACTGGCTTCCTTGCTTCTTGTGATGGGGGAAACTAAAGGAGGATAGAAACCAACAGCTGATACACACAGTGCTGGCTCACCATGGTAAAGATATGTAGGCAGAGGGTTAGGGGCTGTTCCAGAGTTTCTCCATGTCATAGGACTTTTGATGAAGATAGATACTTAAGCAGCACTATGCCTTTTGTTTGGACAGAGAGAGGCCAGAAGCATGGTGATGGTTCAGATACAGTAAGGACTCTGGTTGCTCACCTCACCTTCAAACAAATGCTGTCTCTAAAGGAATTTAAGTGCCGCATAATTTAATGCAAAGAAGGAAAATAGTTGTTTCCTTAAAAACCTACAGTCTTTGGGTTGATAGATTTCTCTCTTCTCCTGAGATGTTTTCTTTGTCTTCTGAGTATTTTCTACAACAGTTAGCAACGCAGACCATCAAGTCCCAGGGAGACAAACAAACCTTGTGCCAATTTGAGTTGAAGCCCATCAGCTCTTTCCAAGTTTGGAAATTTGACATATTTCTGATTTCTTGCAGATAATTGTTGAATGTGTTTATTTCATCAAGCCCTTGTAATCAAAGGAAAAGAAAAATAGCCCTGAATACTATGACCATGTTAATGCAAGAGAAAAGAAACTTATTTTTTTTTCTGTAAGTCATTTCAGCCATGGTCTGTGATTTGTCAGCGCTGTGGAGGGTCATCCAGCTTAGATAGAACTGGACGTTTCCAAGGAACAGAACGGGATGTCACTGGCCATTGAAAAATGACTCCTTTTCCTTTTGAATTAAAATTAAACCTGTGCTCCCAAGTGTGAGTCCAGTCAGGAGCAAGGGGGTATCGTATTTTAGATGAGAAACTTATGTCCTAATTGCTTATGGCCTCCAGAGTGTTTATGGGACTGCTCTCAAAGAAATGTTGTTTCCTTGTTTGAACTGCTTTGGGATTAGGCATTGTAGATACTCTGTAAGGCTCCATTTTTCTTTTCATACTAGCTTGCATTCTCTTCTTGTCTGAAAGATGGAATAGGTTTTGCCATTTTTCTTAATTCATGTAATGTATTAGTATTTTCTGCTTCCAACTACAAAGAAACTTTTCTGTTCCTTTGGGCCTTTTCTGGTCCATTGGATGCTAATGGATGACATGTATGTCTGCGCCAGAGCCTTACCCGTGCAAATAGCTTATGAAGGCTGAGGCTGTTCCAACCAAACATGATTAAAAGTCATAGAAATCGAGATGGAAAAAGCTATTAGGTCACATAGTTCCCACACGCGCCCCCCAGACCAGTACAGGTTTGTTTCCAATAGTACATTTTTGGTGCTTTCCAGAAGGGGTCAGTGCAGGTCAGCGTTCACTTTGCATCCAACAGCCTTCCTCCCTTCCCCCTTCTTGAAAAATTAGGAAACCTTTTGAATCTGGTGATGAGTAGGTTGCAAAATGTCTACAATTTTTATTATAGCTTGTAATTTGGTGTTGGGTGATCAAAAGCAGAAGAAATATATTGAAATCCGACAGCTGATCATCGAAGATTTGAAATGAAGAAATTTAGTGAGCTCTTCAAACTGACTTGTTGGCTTTGTACGTGTATCAAATGCTGCGGATCCTGAGAACTGTTCTGGGGACGCTTGGTTGTAGCGAGAAAGACAAGAGATTCACAGGTTTATCCTGTTTAGTAGTCCATATTTGGAGCATATTACAATAATATTTTATAGTTACATAAAAAACATCTGGATAATTCAAATCAAATTTCTGATTGTAATAAACCAAAAGTGACAAAAGCCCCTTAAGTCTGAATAAAAGAAGGGTATAACTAGCAATCATGTTGCACCAAAAATGCAGTTCATCCTACTCAAGCACTTGCGGTACAGAAGATTGCCTTTCTGAAGATTGTCCAGTGTTGTGGGTCTGTTGGGGTGTGGAGGCTTCTGCAGGGTTCATCTCACCTGTG